CTGTAATCATGACATAAAACAAAATAAACATTCACTTGATAGATTGATTCACGTTTCCGTTATGCTAATTAATTCACTGAAAAGGCATAGGAGGTGCTAGCATCAACCTGCTAGATCACTCATAAACTTATTAACAATCAAATAATACATTTACAAATTGTCCGAAATGTAAACAACAAGTACAACAAACAAACATACCTGTTCGCCTTCCAGCTAGATGCTAATTTAAAGATGGATGGAAAACGGTAACTTTCTCATTAACCGTTTCTATGGCAAGCAGTAGCAGTACGATCTTCCCGGAAGTTGCCCGTTCCGAATTTCAAAATAAGAGTTGAATCTATATTATACGGTATAATTCGTTCGGGGATTTAACTGTTTGAAAAATATCAATAAGATAAATAATCTGGGTCATTTACAATTACTTCAATAAGATTATTTTGTGTCCATTAAACACTAATTAGTTTCCTCAAAATAACGCATCATTTTGTTGGCATCACAATATGAAAGTAAAAATAACAAATTATATCCTATCTTCACAATTAGAAGTCACATTATTCACTAAAAGTTCTTTTGTTGCTGCTGTGAAGGCAAAATGCAAAATCCTTCAAAGTAAAGGGTCGTCTATTTTTTTTGTATTATTTGGCAACTGGCAACCTGTAGAATATTCAAACAGTGCATTTAAACAGAAGGTCAGACATAATAGAAGCTAAAGGAAGACAGTAAAGCTGTGTTGATGATTTTTGCTTTTTTTGAGCCACCGAAGTTTGGTCAGATTTTTGTTCAAATGTTTAGTTCAAGTTTACATCAAATATTAACTAATAGTTTATGTTTTTACAGGATGCATCAGGAGAACTCAGAGGTTCCTAGTGGTCAGTCTGAACAGCAGGATCAAAAACACCTGGACTCCATATTTAGGGTCTGTACATGAACAGAAACGTCCTTCACTTGAGCTACGAATCAAACAGGACTGTGTACTAATATAACATCAAGCAGCACATGTCTGTGAAGGTTCTCGGTCATCCAGTCATCATAGTCTAAAGAGCTTGGAAGGAAAGCATCTGGACTTCCTTAAATTTCTTGAAGATGAACAAGCCAAAAGGGCTTAGGGACACTCCCAACGGGGCTTAAAAATCTGGGACTCTCTCTTGCACCGAAGAAGCTTCTCGGATGAGAGTTGAAACGTCTGCAAGAAACTTCAAGAAGTCCAGATTGTTTCCTCCCAAGCTCCTTACACATCAAGTAGCGCAGTTTCATCAGATTAAATCAAATTCTTGTTGACGTAATTCAGTTCAACAAAATTCTCTGGCATTGTTAATATGAAATCATAAAGAGGACAAACCTAAAACTCTACAGTAACACCTGTTCTCAGTGTTGTATTGTATTTAACTGACTGACTAGCTTATGTAAAGCTGTGTAGTCATTATTTCTATACATCCAGTATAGATTAAGTGGCAGGCTTTGTAATAAAGTTCCTTTGTAGTAATTTGTAGGCCTGTAGGTTGAAATTCTGTACAAGACCAGATACAATGTTTCTGGTAATTATACGATTCATGTTAAAAATATATATAGTATTCTGTTCTAGTTGCTGGAAGAAAACATCATCACTTTTGTGAAGAATGAACTGAAGAAGATCCAGAAAGTTCTGAGTCCAGATCATCCAGAATGTTTAGCGAGTCAGTGGAAGGATAAGGAGATGTTGGAGGGTGAAAACCAGAAGAGGAGCAGCAGAGAAGCTCTTCTGAAGATGGTAGATGACTTCCTGAGGTGGATGAAGCAGGAGGAGTTGGCTGACTCTCTACAAAGAAGTAAGAACATTTCTATACAGTTCAAGTGTAGTGTCCAGATCAGGCATGTTTTTTTCCAACTAGGTTCATAAAAAAACAACACCTGGCTGCTATCACATTATGTCCCACTCCCACCACTCATTCCACATCTGGTTATAAAGTTCTCACTGTGTTGTGGTGTATGTTTGTGATTTCATCAAACCCACTATAAATCTCAGCTTTTCTGACCTCACTTCATCAATGAAGAGTGAGAGGTGTGTTACCAGGAAGAAAACAGTTTTTAGAGTCTGGCTCAGGCAGTATTTACAGTCCTGAGCAGCACCGTCATTGCAACCCTACAACCGCTTGTGGCAGGGTTTGGGAAACAGGGGTGGGCCAGTCGTCTAAGAAGCTTGAAAAGAAAAGCGTCTGGACTTGTTTTCTTGTTTCTTGAAGACGTTTTCACCTCTTGTCTGAGAAGCTTTTTCAGTTCTAAGAGTAGGGTAAGGTGTCTCATCATAGCCAAAAGGTCTAATCTTCACCTGAAATTTCACTGGCAAACCATAATTTTCCTCTAATCTTTGTTTTGGACCATAAAATTATTTTACCCATATCCTTTTAAATAGAGCAAATAATGTTTTAACATAGTCTTGCCAAATATGCATAATTTCAGTGCATAAATTATTTTACTGTGCACACAGAAATACAATTATTTCCCAAATATCAAAAATCACCTTGGTTGAAATTATGAACCTGGATACTAACAGCAAACTGTGTATCTTTCCAGAGAAGAGAGGCCAGAAAGCTGAAGGCTCTGCCTCCCATTCTACCTTTAAATACTCTAGGAACCACAAGTAAGCCCATCAAATTTTCTAGATTTAACTGCGAGCCAATGAAGAAAAGCCAATATGAGAGAAATATGCTCTCTTTCTCTCTAGCCCCTGTCAGTGCAGCATTGTGGATCAGAATGTTCTCCAAACATAAGAACCAAAGAGCCCTAATTTCGTCTTATCTGACCTTAGGATGTGGTTTCAGTATGGATTGTCTTTTTCCAGGTTGTGCTTAACATACTGCAGTCTGGCTTGAAGATGTCCAGTCCAATTCTGCAGAAGTGGAGGCTTTCTTGGTCTGCCACTAATTATTTGGGTTTCACCAATGACTGTATAGGCGTTGGCTGAATAGCAGTGGTGCCGGTCACAACTAACAGGAGTTCAAATTAGGTTCTTCCTTCTTTACTGTCATTCGTTAACACCACAGCACAGTAATGCAACCACAGGCTTACAGATGGGGCGTACAAGGACTTGTAGGTGCGGGAGTGGATGTCTGTGGTCTATAAACAAAACATATACAAAAGTGCTGAGTATAATAAACAATAAAATCATGAATTGTGTATCATTCACTGTCTTCCAGTATAACCAGATAAACCAATAAACATTGCACTTCTATATAAGCTGATTCCCTAAATGACATAAAAGGCCCAAGACTGTCCTTTCCAGACAGGTAATGATGTCATTTGTCTTTTCAGTAGTGATGTGCGATATCACTGATCTCCTTTCCGATCCGATACCTAGTAAAATTCAGGGTGGTATCGACGATACTGATCCGATACCGATACTCTGTACAAAAACGTATTTTATTTATTGTATCTTTTATTGTATCTCAAATTATAGCATCATAATGATTACAGGACATCAGATTACTTGTTCTTATCACTTAATAATGCAGAGTTCATTACATAGAAATAAAAAAAACTGAACTTGTGCGCTATTTGAACACCTTGCCTGCCTGCAGCACTAAAGGACTCCGTGAGAGACAAGGTTAGTGGTGTTGCCACAACACCTCACTTTCTTGCCACATGTATTGCAAACCACGTCTCGGCTGTTTGTGGATGTAAAATACGTCCGCACAATACGTCCGTTTACGCTCAGCCATTGTTGTGAGTGCACACGCCAGAGGGTGGACACATGTATACAGCCGTATTTCGCACATGACTATGAAAGGCGGAAGAGGAAGTAGTTCCTTTGAATGTAGACAATCTGAATGATATAGTTTCTTTCCACTGTGTTCCTGTTAATGATAAACTACAAATTTACCATAAAATTACTAAAATATTGATATTTTAATGTGAGAATCGATTCTAGAACATAAATGACTGGTATCGGAGGAATCGATATTTCAGTATCAATCTGCACATCACTACTGTAAAATCTTTCATTCTCACTATTAGATACTATTATTAAATATTATTAGAACTTTGTATATCAATATCTTGGAGAGTGTCAACAATTCTTTTAATCAAGTCTAAGCTGTTTCTTTTGTCTTTGGTATGCTTCCTCAAGTGACATCTCGAAGCCTTGCTGTGGTTCTTACATTGTGTGCAAATTAGAAGAGGATCCTCAATTTTTAACTGGATTTTCTAAGCTGCGAGACTTACAACGTTAATGCTCAAAAATCTTTTTTCAGGGGGTTAATAATATTGAGCCTAGTAGTTTTTGTTTTTTTTTCTGAAATCAGTCTGAAATTGTGTACAAACGTAAATCATTCCTACTTTCTAACAAGTAGTATGTTCAGAAATTTTATTTTGAAAATCCCACTTAACCCTTTTACACATAGTGGTCACTATAGTGGACAACTATTCAAAGGCTGTTTTTTTTTTTTGGTTTTTTTTGTATTTGTGTTAGTGTTAATGGTATAGTTGCACATAAACCACTACATTGGACACTTATGTGTCAGTCCATACCCAGTCAAGACATCACAGAGCCTCTACATATATTTGTTACATTTGTTATATTGTTATAAAATATATTTAAAATATATAAAAACATATTTTTGTTATGTTATAGTTTTTATACAGTGTATATTATTTATTCGTTTGTGAAAGTCATAAGTCAAAACGCATGTTGTCCACCTAAGGGGACATGTAAAAAACTGAAAACTTCAAAAATCTTTTTTTCATGCCTAAAGATGAATAAAAATACTTTTAAAAAATCCTGATTGAGGTTGTCATATTTCATGCATGAAATGATCAAAATAGCAATTGGGAAAGATCTGTATGTGAGTCATCCTGTTAGAGAATTCAGGATGTTCCAGCTTTCCTCTTCTTTCAGTATTTTCTGCAGAAAGGCATTGTTCGGATGTTAACAAAACATCTTTGGTCCGAGCATCGCTTACATAAAATGGTGCGTAGCTCTTAATGACATTCATGGAGCTATATTTTTTTGTGATCTTGGAAGCCATACTGATGAATCTTCTCTCATGAGCTTCTCATTCTACAGATGCTCTCTGTGCCAAGTATTGCACCCTGGTGCTATGCCTTAAGTTCGTTCAGCACCTTCCTCCTCAGGTGAAGTACCCAGAATCATCTCACCTGATGTTTGCCTTTTCTGCTCACACTTTGCCCATCTGGTCCTACAGATTCCCACTAAGTAGTTACACTACTGCACTTCTGTGGCAGTTTGAGCTGATTTCCCGATCTTCACAACACTTTCTTTTCATGAACTTATAATGCATATTCTAGGTGGTTGAAGACTGGTTGGCCTTTGTTTTAGGGAGATCCTGGCATTCAACATATAAGAATAGGTGTTTTTTTGGGGAGAACAATTTTCTTTTTCTTCTTCACTGTGTCAGTGGATGTATTGTTTTGGTTTTGGGCTGCTAGTCCATTGCCTAGCCTCTCTTATCTAGGGTTGGGATGTGAAATGTCAGAGTTACATCTTCTACATTAATATCAAATGTTCAAATTTATGGGATTTGTTCTTTGTTCAATCAGGAACTCCAGCTACATGCCAACAACATGTGAAATGTACAATAAAGAAGAAGTTCCAGTGCATGTTTGAGGGGATTGCTAAAGCAGGAAACCCAACTCTTCTGAATCAGATCTACACAGAGCTCTACATCACAGAGGGAGGGACTGCAGAGGTCAATGATCAGCATGAGGTCCGACAAATTGAAACAGCATCCCGGAAACTAGACAAACCAGAAAGAACAATCAGGCAAGAAGAAATTTTTAAAGCCTCACCCAAAAGAGATGAACCAATCAAAACAGTGCTGACAAAAGGAGTGGCTGGCATTGGGAAAACAATTTTAACACAGAAGTTCACTCTGGATTGGGCTGAAGACAAAACCAACCAAGACATCCATTTCATATTTCCATTCACCTTCAGAGAGCTGAATGTCATGAAGGAGGAAAAGTTCAGCTTGGTCGAACTTATTCATCACTTCTTTACTGAAACTAAAGATGCAGCAATCTGCAGCTTTGAAGAGTTCAAGGTTCTGTTTATCTTTGATGGTCTGGATGAGTGTCGACTTCCTCTGGAATTTCAGAAAACTGAGGTCTTGACTGATATCACAAAGTCCACCTCAGTGGATGTGCTGCTGACAAACCTCATCAAGAGAAAACTACTTCCATCTGCTCGCCTCTGGATAACCACACGACCTGCAGCAGCCAATCAGATCCCTCATCAGTATGTTGATATGGTGACAGAGGTCAGAGGGTTCACTGAACAACAGAAAGAGCAGTACTTCAAGAAGAGATTTCAAGATAAGAAGCTAGCTATCAAAATAATCTCCCACATTAAGACATCACGGAGCCTCTACATCATGTGCCACATCCCAATCTTCTGCTGGATCACTGCGACAGTTTTGGAGGATGTGCTGAAAACTAGAGAGGGAGGACAGCTGCCCAAGAACCTGACTGAGATGTACATATATTTCCTGGTGGTTCAGGCCAAAGTGAAAAAAGTCAAGTACGATGGAGGAGCTGAAACAGATCCACACTGGAGTCCAGAGAGCAGGAAGATGATTGAATCTCTGGGAAAACTGGCTTTTAATCAGCTGCAGAAAGGAAACCTGATCTTCTATGAATCAGACCTGACAGAGTGTGGTATTGATATCAGAGTAGCCTCCGTGTACTCAGGAGTGTTCACACAGATCTTTAAAGAGGAGAGAGGACTGTACCAGGACAAGGTGTTCTGCTTTGTCCATCTGAGTGTTCAGGAGTTTTTGGCTGCTCTTCATGTTCATCTGACCTTCTTCTGCTCTGAACTCAATCTTCTAGAAAAACAAACACCCTCCAAAAAGTATGAATCAAGAGAATCTGCAGAGACACATTTATATCAGAGTGCTGTGGACAGCGCTTTACAGAGTCCAAATGGACATCTGGACTTGTTCCTCCGCTTCCTCCTGGGTCTTTCATGGGAAACCAACCAAGCTCTGCTACAAGGACTGCTGACGAAGACAAGAAGTAGCTCAGTGACAATTCAGAAAACAGTCAAGTACATCAAGAATAATATCAGTGACAATTTGTCTGCAGAGAAAAGCATCAACCTGTTCCACTGTTTGAACGAACTGAATGATCATTCTCTAGTGGAGGAGATCCAACAGTCCCTGAATTCAGGAAGTCTCTCTAGGGATGAACTGTCTCCAGCTCAGTGGTCAGCTCTGGTCTTCATCTTACTGTCATCAGAAAAAGATTTGAATGTGTTTGATCTAAAGAAGTACTCCCCCTCTGAGGAGGGTCTTCTCAGGCTACTTCCAGTGGTCAAGTCCTCCAAGAAAGCTTTGTAAGTACACAAATTTTAGTTGCTGGATTTTCTACAAACAGCAGGAGAACAAGTTAGTAGAATTAGTTAACGTGTGTCAGTAAGTGGATCGTTTTACTGATCATTTGTCCTCTTTTTCTTAAAGAATGAGTGGCTGTAACCTCTTAGAGAAAAGCTGTGAAGGTTTGTCCTCAATTCTCAGCTCCCAATCCTCACATCTGAGAGAGTTGGACCTGAGTAACAATAACCTGAATGTTTGGGGAGTGAAAAAGCTTTCTGCTGGGCTGGAGAGTCCACATTGTAAACTGGAAACTCTCAGGTGAGATGTTTATTATTTGAGCTATGATACCTAGAAGCAGCCTGATGACCACAACAAAGAAACATTTTCTCTCTTGCTATGCTTGCTAACTTGTCAAAAAAAGTGCATTCAACACCTCATTCTCCTGTAGGGTAAAGCAATTTGAGTCATGGAGGACATGTGCTTTATTCAGTCTTAAGCAACTGTTAGTAGTTGGTTAGAGTTTTCAGGCTCTTTAGTTTTAGAATTCTATTAGTATTCTATTAACACATTTTCAAAGAAAGGAAAAGCTAATTGTCACAATTTAAATTAAGAGTTATCATCATTTTAGCCATAAGTATGCTGTTCTCTAATACCATTAAATTGTACACTGGCATCCCCACATGAACTGACATGTATCTCATTTTGCATGTCTGCAGTCTGTCAGGCTGTCTGATCACAGAGGAAGGTTGTGCTTCTCTGGCCTTAGCTATTCATTCCAACCCATCATCCCATCTGCGACAGCTCGACCTGAGCTACAATCATACAGGAGACGGGGGGAAGCTGCTGCTATGCGGACTTGAGGATCCACTCAGGAGACTGGAGACTCTCAGGTATCTGGGTGATCTTGTTACTAACATTATAAACACACCACTTTATAATATAAAATGATAGGATGATCTGAATTTATCTAAACGTATCACTTTAGCTTGGAACCGGTTGGTGTCGAGTGGTTGATACCAGGTCTGAGGAAGTGTAAGTATGTTTTTGTTTTGTAAAATCACGAATGAGTTTTTCCCTCAAAGTAGTGACAATTTTCATTGATATCCAGATGCGATGCAGCTCAGCAGTGAGTAGAATTGAAATTAGTTTGTATTTAAACCAGAGCATGTGATATGATTAAGAAATTTCAGTCAGTCAGGTGATTTTTAATCACAAGATAAACAGTATAAATAAATAGTTTTTATTGGGTGGTGGCTCTTTATTCTTGGTATCTGGATTGGTAGACTACCCTCCAGTGTTGCCAACAATGTATTACTGGCTGTCAAGTTGTCTGCTGAAATTCAGTTGGCACCAGAATATGTGAATACTGGAACACCACAGTAGGCTCTACATTACAGACAGCATTAGGTTCACTAGAGGGAAGATATGACTACTGTTGCAAGATCAAGGTTATAAATTTGCACTCATATCCACTCTGCACAGATACATCCTCTCTTCCAACAGCTAGTTTAATGTGTAGTTTCATGTTGTGATTTTTAATTCGTTTTGTGATGTTTATTTCTGTGAAGAGTTTTCCCAGCAATAAAGCTGCGCTTTAAGTTAACTTTCCTTTTCTGAGTCCTGCATTTGGGTACACAACCTGCCAGCCACACAGCACTCATCATGACATCATGGAGCTTTATTTTGAGTTGGATATGGATAACATCATGGAGAAGAAAAACGGGAATTGAGAGATATGGTGACCAGTGATGGACATTAGACCTACTGTAAAATTGGAAGCAGTTTGTTCGCACTACCATCTTCATCTCATGCGGCTCCCCTGGCGCCAGCTGGATGCTCAAGGCAAAAGCTGACAGGAATAACAAAAATTCTCCCTTAGATAACAAGACTGTGTTGTGACTCTTCCCCTTCCATGAAGGCTACCCGCGTCGACCGAAGACTGTTGACAGTTTCCTAACCGAGTGAAGGGACATTTTCTATCGGCTGAACACGGAACACACGTACACATACGCATATACACTGACACAGACCTACACTCACCCCTCCCCCACCCCCTCCAAATGCCTTCGAAGCTTATGTCTTCTGTGTTGTGAGATGTGCTGATTCATGTGCTATGTGCTGAGGTGGGTTTTTTTCTGTTCACAAGCTGTTCTCCCTGTTGCAGCTCAGTCTGGGGGAGTTCTTTTTTTCTCCTCGTCCTTCCTCGTGTTGTGCATTTTCCATTTTTTCCATTGTTATACTTCTCTGACCGGTCATCCCCATGTGATGTTTGTGTAATGTATGTATGGTCGGAGGGTAAGATGGCGCTGACAAGGCTTGCAGCCTTAACCCACCCAATCAATCAACTAACCTCTTGTCACCACTGACAGACCTCCACTCATTTTACTTACATAATCAATATGTTTAGACCGTGTTCATTTACAATCCACCATTAAACCTCATAGTTTTGTGACAGCTTAACAGCAGCTGCATTCTTTTTTCTCCATCAGATTCCTGTCAACTCACAATCGACACAAACACAGTAAACAGAAAACTCCAACTATGTGACAACAGGAAGGCAACCCATCTGAAAGAGGATCAGTCATATCCTGATCATCCAGACAGATTTGACCGTCCTCAGCTGTTGTGTAACAATGGTCTGACTGGTCGTTGTTACTGGGAGGTCGAGTGGAGAGGAAGGGTTGATATTGCCGTGAGTTATAAAGGAATCAGAAGGAAAGGAGACAAAAACCACTCATGGCTTGGAAGGAATGATCAGTCCTGGTGCCTGGGCTGCTTTCATGATGGTTACTCTTTGTGCCACAACAACAGTGTAACATTCAGCCGTCTCCCCTCCTCATCCTCTGTCTCTAACAGAGTAGCAGTGTATTTGGATGCTGCTGCTGGCACTCTGTCCTTCTACAGAGTCTCTTCTGACAGCCTCAATCACATTCACACCTTCAACACCACATTCACTGAACCTCTTTATCCTGGGTTTGGGCTTCAGAATGACACCTCACTGACTATATGTGACTTAAAAGAAGACACAGAGAAAAACTCTGAAATCATCTAAAACAAACATTAGCAATAAGCTGCAATAGTATTTTTTTTTTTTCAAAAGAGAACAACAGGCAAAGCTTTGTTACTTTAAAATCCTCCTGATACGGCTGCTCCTTTATCGTTAGCTGTGGGACCAAACAGAAATGGCAGTGTGTGAGGACTGTCCTGGTATCACTCTGTCCTTCTAGAGACTCATGGCCTGATATCCTCATCCACATTCAGGCCATGAGTATCACAATAGCTGAGCCTCATTAGTTTGGCTTTAGGTTTCAGAATGACACCTCAGTGTATTTAAAAGATTTTAAGATGTTTTTAATAATTAGATATGATGGTTCAACTGTGAGTGCCAGCATATCCAATGAACAGTACTGGCTTTTTGTTATGTGCCTGCTGTGTATTATGGAGGAGCTGTTAAAATAAGAAGACAACCAACTCTTTTATTGTTTACCAATAATTTTAGAGCTGTTTTATAATGAAAGTCAGTTGTTGGTGTTTTTGAAAAATACATAAATACGTATGTTCATACATAAATTGTCAAACCGTGAGCTTTGACAATTTATGCAGAAACCCAGCAGATGAAGCTCGGAAACAATCGAGCTGCACTAGTTCTCCCAAACAAATTATCCCAGAAATGTTAGAATAAGTATGCAGTCTAGTAAACTCTGCTTTTCAATGGCTGAATCATGGGTAACTGTGGTGTAACACCACAAAAAGGCTCATTTATGTCTTAAAGACTTTTATAGTATGTTGAAATAATTCATGTTAGTCTCTGCATCAGAACTTCAAGTGCAATACTTTGATTTGAAAATAAATAACTTGATGTTATTTAAGATTATGTAGGGTTTTTTGTTATGGATGATGTTATATAGTTTCATGTTTATTTTATTTATTGAGTTTATTGTTTGAGCTGGATTAATTCCACACTCTGCAACAAGCTTATGTGCCATGCTGTGTAACTACCACCGGAGGGTAGTGTTGGCCTCCATGGGAGTGGGGTGGGCTAGGAGAGATTCAGCTTTGTATTTATTGTATTTTTTTTTTTAAGTCTTTTCTTATGTCCTGTTAAATCCTAAACAACTTTTATATTACAATGATCAGATCTGAAAGAATATGAATAAATAAATAATAAAATAAAAGGACTCAACTTCTTTATTACTCAGATGCAATGAGAAACACCTGTCACTGTAGGGTTGAAAAAAAAAGTTTTAGTCTTATTTCAGGTTGGTTTGTGAAGTATGTGTGACCACAAGCTGAACACCACTGGTAGACTTTCACCTCAGTATCAGCAGGTAAATATTTGATGTGTGAGCTGTCCTAAGTCAGGCAGAAGCCAGATCAATACTAAGAGGTTGCTGCATGTCTCTTTACCTTCATGTTTTTATTTAATCACTCCTGCTTCTTCTTCCCAATATGCTGTTTGCTATATGAGTTCATAACATGCTCATTGAGACAAGCTAAAGCATTAGATTCTGAACATGACCTCTGACCTCAGCAGCGGCCTTTATTTACACAAGTGACGTATGTCTGAAAGCCTTAGGAACAAAAGTTCACCCAGTCAACACCGACCTCTGAGTCAAAAAAGAAAAAAACTGGTGCAAACCACAAATGTAATATAGTTGAGTTTAGTACCAACAGCAGACAGACAGAAATCATGTAATGACCAAATAACATTTTGAGGTGAATGTGCATGACATTTTTTACACTTAGTATTTTAACTTTTCATAAATTATCTGGACAACTGTGATATATACGAATATATACGAATACTGTGAAAAATCTGAAATAAAACTGCAAACAGTAGCATCATAACATAGTTTGTGTCAAAATTGTCTGAATATGTTTTCTTGTTCATGTTTTAAAATGTCTTTAAACTTCCAAACTGTAGTTTCACTCAGAATTTCAACATGAATCCACACAGATTACAGCAAATGTTTGACAGCAGCACAAACTGCACCCTCTGATGGGACCATGGAATTACACATTCACTGTTACTGCAAACTGAACATCCAGACATTTTCTGAACTGATTGACATATTGAGGTTCTGAGAAGGGTTGGAGACTGTCCCTGTTGGTGAGAGATGTGACCTTCAACTGATCTCCAGTCACCAATCATCAGACGTTGAAAACCGATTGATGGTGATCTTTTCTTGATGTCCTGCTATGGTTGAAAAACTGACTTACTGGAAGGCAAAGAGCTAAGGGCCGTTTCCACACCCAAATGAAAGTCTGATGTCAAAATGAGTATTTATTTGAAATGTAACATCTAGTTTCTGGAGTGTTGCTTACTGAGCACATGGCCAAAACAAAAACCCTTTGTAGCCCTAACACATTGGTACATATTAACTATGGGTGGTGATGCCTAACTCCATACTTGTGTTTTAGAGAAAACCAAAACAGGTCTGTGAAGTACAAATTTGGGGAACATCTTTGTATTGCATAGGGTTCGGGTTTGTGTCATCACCGATAATGAACTTGACCTAGCTTTTAACAAACTCTTATTATTTTAAATGTTTAATCATTTTTGTGTATGATGGGTGTACAAGGACCCAACACACTCAATGGTTGACTCACTGATTTGCACTTTATTGTCAGTTGCACACACAAAGACAGTCTCCTCTCAGCCCAGATGTCCGTCTCCTCCATCTCCACTCGTCTCTTCCTCCACTATGAAAAGAAACGGAGACTGTCATCAGTCATAACGCCACCACCTTTGGCCTCACCTGCCTCCTGGCACCGCCCCCTTGAGCTCACTGCACCACTCCTCTCCTGCAGCTGATCCAGGGACCACACCTCCACCACAATGGGTTTGGACAGAACAATGGATCTTTAAACTGACTTTAGGAACCCAAGACTGTGATAACATATGTCTGCACAAAAAAAGATAAAAATATTTTTTTCTGAATGGGATATTTTTGATAAATTTTCATGTTTTTTAGGGTGCTGAATCCAAAAATGAGCTCTATTTTCCTCCAAGTAATTTTTTTTTGCAAAACATTAGGACTTTACATTAAAAAAGCGAAAACAGCAGAAAATGAACAAAATAAACCTGTTGGGACATCATCCATTGAGCTCCTCACGCCAAACCCACACCACCTCCCCCTCCTACTGACCCCCCTTAATTCCTCACATTTACTATTTGTATTTCTCGGGACTCTCACTCTTAGAAATATTAAGTTATTGTAAGAAATCATTAGTGGTTATGTTTTTTTGACTCAAGTATAAGATTCCAGATTTCAATTTAAAAAGGTAAATTGGATGCTTAACTAAACCAAAAACTTGAGTTCTGCAAGAAAAACTGACAAAATGGAATTATTAAAATATTTTTTCGGGTTTAAGTGAGTAAAGATCTACAAGAAAAAAAAATCATATGCAGTTTTTTTGGTTGCAGACCTGTGTGATTTATCTATCTACTGCCACGTGATAGTTTTTGCCTGTAATCAAAGACAACTGATCTTATTATTATTAAATAATCACAAATTCTGCAGGTGCTCGAATGGAAGAAATGTACCAAAGATGGTATTTTTAAGACATTTTAAGATTTTTTTAGGGACTTGTTACACTTGTTAATTGTGACTTGTATGTTCATATGTTTCTTTTTTTTTTTACCAAACAATGATTCAGTATCAACAGAACTGATCTTGGGTTGTGTTAAACTACAGCAGTATTAACTCACAGTAGGACTCGAGTTGTTGAGAAAAAGTAAACATGTAGGTTTAAACATAACCGACTCATCAGTCTGGCTCAAACTTTGACCCTTTGGTCAATAATCCCCCCCCTCCAGAGGACGGACAGAGAGACATAGACGGGCAAACAAAGAAGGACACACTGAGTACTGCTGGATCTGGTTCTGAGGTTCTGCTTAGAGGTCTGGATCATGATGGAACCAACATCAAAACCTGCTGCTGTTCTGCTGCTGTTTCTCCTGCACAGCTGTGTGGCAAACCATGGTAATGAACTCCTTTCTTCTTCAATGTGTGAACTGTTTTTAGTGCTCATATTAGTGGTACTAAATGTAGGATCATCATATGACTAATCTAGATCAAAATTGTACTTTGGTTTGAATATAAGTAGATTTAAGTCTTTTATGAAAGTTCATTAGAAGACAGAAAGTAACCCTCAGTCTGTGTATCTGTACATTTGATTGTTTAACCAAATATCACTTTTTTTTCTTCTTCTCTTGTCTTGAATTTGATGAACACTAAACCAAATGAACCATTTTAAATCTGATGTGGAAGTATAATTACAAGGACTGTAAAAACAGTCTTTGTAATTAGTACTACTATTACTTCTACAATTACCTGATAGAAATACGTGTATAATACGATTGAATTAAATTCTCAAGTATGTAAATTACTGACCTTTACTTAAGATATGTTTTCAGTCCATTACTTTTATTTTTGGAGTACGTAGTTAATACAGTATTTTTATATGCCATGCATTTTGCCAAAGGGGGGAGGTGGGTGAAACACAATCACCTGGAAGAGGCAGACCCTGTAAATTATTTATAAAGCCTATTGTGTCATTTGACAAAATCTTCCTCATTATTAGACAGAAGATAAATGGAAGAATGGAAAAATTTTATACAAATCCAATCCCAAAAAGTCGGAACATTGTGTAAATTAAAACATTAAAACCATATCTCATGTTGAATTTGATAGCAGCAGCACATCTGAAAGGACTGTGTTTACCACTGTCTAGCGTCTCCTGTCCTTTATAAACGGTCTGTAAACGTCATGGATGAGGAGAGCAGCTGATGTAATTTTGGAAGAGGCACTTTGTCCCATTTTTGTCTGATAGAGGATTCTAGCTGCTCAACAGTCCCAGGTCATCTTGGATTTGATCATTTGTGTGACTACAGAACAGATTTTAAATTAAAGTGGAGGCTGAGTGTTGGTGATGCTGGAAGGGTTTAACTGATTTTCTATCTTTGTTGTAGTTTTTCTCAGCAGCCACCTCGCGTCACAGGTTTTGGTCCGGAACAGACGAGCCAACCAGATGTTTGAGGAGCTGAAAGCAGGTGACCAAACAGCAGCTTTTCTCCTCATTATTACATCCACTATGGTTTGACATCTTGACCATTCATATCATTCTGTGTCTACTGAACTCATAAAATCTCCTTGATTAAAATAAATGTTTGTACAGGGAGCAGGTTCATTTCTCTCCCTTTTCGTATCTACTTTAGATTCAATTGTAATCACTTACTTTAGCATGCGCTGCAGGTTTGGAACAATATTAGCTTTGAGTCTTTGTTGACTGGAGGTGGGCAGAGACTGCTAAATGTTAGCATTAATTTTGGAAAGTAAATCAAAAAGAAACAAAAAGAGCCAAACAGAGACAACAAACAACTGTGAAGTGACACAAAATGACTATAACATGTTTTACAGGTGCTCTCTATGTTTGTGTCTCATGATACTGTCACAATTATAGTGTGTTAATGTGGATTATTTCATATCAGGGAACCTGGAGAGAGAGTGTGTGGAGGAAATCTGCGACCACGAAGAAGCCAGAGAGGTGTTTGAGCAGCCAGATAAAACAGTATGTTTTTACTTCTCTCTGCTGTCAGAAGTTTTAACAGCACTGAGATCAGTTCAAAGTCTCACCGCAAAACAATCTCTCTTCCTACAGGAAAAATTCTGGAACAAATACCTCGGTGAGATATACTGGATTTAAACATGGAAACAAATATGTTCAATACTAAGAGATAAGTATAAGTATATGAACAGTATGATTTTTTTTATTACAATAAATTAAAAAAAACATTTCTTTCTTCAATTTTCTTGTTTTGTGTAACCAACAGTTCCACAGTCTTTCAGTTTATCAGAGGAAATTCTCATATTAAGTGATTTTAAACAAACAAAACATCCATCCATCCATCGAACCTTTTTCTTCTGCTTCTCTGTGCCCTGGTCATGAGGGCAGCAGCCTACACAGAAGCCCAGAGTCCCCCCAGAAAACTTGTATCCTCCCCCTCCGTGACAGAGATGTTTGTGTTTGGATGGATGGATGTTTTGGTCCAGTTTAGATTTGATGTGTTTCTGAATAGAACTAGAATTGGTTGAATGTTTCTGTGCTTTCTGTTGGTTTGAATGAATTTGATTTTGATTAATCTTGTTATTTTTTTGTTTTTTGCTTCTGT